TTTGGATGAGTGGTGGTGACCTTAATACAAAGTACAAAAGATTGTTCTTTATTATTCCATTGTTAATCATTGATTAGGCAAATACAATGATAATAATACCACTTACACTTTTGTTTATCATATGGTTCATATATTCCCTTGTCTCATTGTTATTGTCTTAAAATGAAATAAGTTTTAAAATTTTAAAAATCTCAGTAAGATTTTCTTGGTATCAGGAAGTTATAAGTAGGTTTTAATTTTAAAAGTACAATTAAGATTGTATGATTTACTAGTTTAATAAACCTTGAAGCCTTTCAACTTTAATCTGCTCAAATTTTAATTATCATTTTAATTGTCTTTTTAAATTCAGTTTTTTCTTTTCAAATATACTTTTTTACTGAAACAGTTCTGTTTTAAATACATGTACATACTCCCATATTTTTAAGTGTAATAAAATTGAAAACTTAGTAACCGTGCTGAAGCTTATAATTTGTTAAATGGATTTACCAATCTTTCACTTTTTGCAATATCTTTCGTCATTTTTAGGAAAATTTTGTAATAGTTACTGGTATATTACAAACATTGCAGACCAATTAATGTTCAGACATCTAAAATGAACCACCTTTGATTTTGGTCTGCAGCATTGTTGATTAGTGCAGCAATGGTCTTATGGGTAGACTTGGTTGCTGCCAACAGGCTTAAAGTCATGATAAGTTGATTGTTGTCTTTCATATTTCTTGAGCATTGTCAAAAAGTTACGAGAGACAATATTGTCTACTACTTTGTTAAATATTTGAAATATATAATAAAGTGTTTGGTCAGGAGTAAGGAATCATTTCAAATTTTTTTTGTCCAATCTGGTTTTTTTGCTTAAAATAATCTTCCATATGATTAATCCATAATATTAAAGTCTTATTTATATAAGGTTTAAATAACTAATACAATTCTATATTAATACACATTGGATCATGTACATGCATGTATTTTTTCTTAGTTATTCACAGTAATAATAAATATTTATTTACTAAAGACTGTTAATCACTACTTATGAAATACAACATTGAAGATATTGAAGCAGTATTTTCTATAATCTGTTAATCTGTTACAATAAAATTATATCACAGTTGTTTCAAGGTGACATTTAAAACCAATCTTTTATGTAATAATCTTTACAAAAAATGCAAAAAAGAAGAATTATTTGTTACCAATATTATATCAATTTTAATAATATACATTTGAAGGTATTCATATAAGTGATAAACAGAAATGCATAAAAAAATCAACAACAACCAAACTGGTTAAAATTACAATGTATGTAAATAGAAGATCTGTGAAGATAAATTATAAGAAATAGATAACTTCACCCTAACCTGTTGAATTTATGCAATGGATTTGCCCAGTACTTTGAATCTGGAACAGTCCACGTAAAGTTTGGGGAAATAAAATTAAAATTATTAAAATTGTCATTCACTGAAATATTTTGACCCTGACTCTTATTTCCTTTAAAAAGGGATAAAACTCAAGCATTTTGAAAAAAAGGTTTTTTTCAAAACACTATGTTTTTAAAGTTAAAAAAGAAAAATTTTTTCGTCTTCAAATAGTTTTCTTAAACCCTTTTTTAAAATTTACTTTAAACTGAACAGTTGTTTTTTTTATACCAAAACAAACCCCAGAATTAAAAAAGTGCATTTTTACTTTTAAGGGAAAGCATGTGTTTAAAATGAAAAAAAAATTTGTTTTAAGTAGTTTCATAATCTAAAAGAAATTTAATATTTATTATAAGGCCTCGATTTAATTTACTTAAAAAATCTATTACAGTTTTTATAATGAAAAAATTTAAATGTTTGGCGATTTGTTTTAAAAAAGCGAGTGAAATCTTTTTGGGGTGAATAGAATTTCCTTTGTGGAGATGCATGCCATAGGGTCAGTTTGAAAAATGATTTTTATCTACTTATGTCTACTAAAATGGAAAATTGGGGAATTTTTTTTGGCTTCACTTTTTTTGAAGTTTTTTTAACGTCCCCAAAAAGTTTTTTTTTATCAAAAAAATTTTTTTGATCCTTTTTTGTGTTTGGGGTTACCTTAGTTCTTCATTAAAAACTTTTTTTTAATGCCAAAAAGCCACTATGTCTTTTGTTGCTGAAAAGTGGGGATGAAAAATGAACGATTTATTATAGCTTAAAAAATTTTTAAAACCTTAAAACCCATTTTAAACCTCTACTTTTTGATTGATTTTTGTCTTTTAAAAAAACTTAAAAATTCCAAAAACTCCAAAAAAAGTTTTACATAAAATTTCTACATCCCATAAATAATTCATAAAAATTACTCTTTTGTTTTAAAATTTAAATTAAAACTATCCTAAAAAAATGTTGCAAATTTTTGGGAAAAAAAATTAAAAAAGACCTGATACTGTATCAGTAAAAACTTAATTTTCAAATATGAAAATCAAAGCGGCCAATGGAAAAAAAAATTCGAAAAGTGGAAAATTTGAAAAGAGTTACCCTTTAAAAAAGGGTTTTTTGGGCCAAGAAAAACCTCCCTTTAAAGCCCCCCACCCTGTCCCCGAGGGGCACATGCCCCCCCGGGCTTTAGTCACGACTTGACGCTGTCTGCGGGAAAACCCGTTTTCCGAAAAAAAATTTTGTAGGTGTACATTTAAATTTAAAAAATTTATATTAAAAAATTGCATGAAAAAAGTTTTAATTTATTTTAAAAGTTTTGCCCAAGTTCAGTTTTAAATATTTTTTTAAATATCGGGAAAAGCTGTGTCTATAAGGGTTTTTAATTTTATGTGAAAACTAAAATAAAACTAAAAAAGTTTTTATTTAAAAGGGGATTTAAAAAAAAAAGCCCTTTTTGATAATGGTGTTAAATTTTGGTCTGTTTTCAAAATGTGATATTTTTTTAGCGTTTTTTACAAAAACCATACAAAAAAACCTTTTTGGGGGAAAAACACTAATTTAAAAAATTTATATAGTCTGGCCGGGTCTATATTATTCAGTTCGTACCTAGGCCCAATAAGGGTTTAAAATTTTTAAAATTAAGAAGTTTTCCCCTTACTGCATTAGGGATAGTAATTTTAATTCTCGTGGAAAATTAGTTTTAATTGTCATTTTCCCTTTCCCAAAAAAGTTTTTTTGTGATAAAGGAAAAAGCCGATATTTTTTTTTTTCTAAAGTATGTAGGTTCCTTTGAAATGGGTTTTGTTAAAAATAAAATATTTTGGAAAAATTTCCCTAAAAAAATGGGAAAATTAATGTATGGGAAAAGGGAACATTAATTTTTTTAGAAAAAAATGAAATTGAATAAAATAAAAATTTTTAAAAAAATTTTTTATTAAAAAATCTTTTCAAAAAATAGATTTTATGTTAAAAGGCGGGTTAAAATGCAAAAAACTAATTTCAAAAGGGTAGAATTTTTCTGTTTACGGTTTAAATCCCGCCCTTTACCAAGGGGTGGTGAGCCCTGCTATGATGTATTTTTTCCCCTTACATAAAAGGTTGGGTTCGGGAAAACCGAACGTGATTCAAAAAAGTACTTTTTTTGTTTTAAAAAAGGTTTAAAATAAAAATGTAAAAAAGAATTTTTTTTATTGATTGCTTTATTTTTCTTTGCATTGACCATATTTATTTTTAAAAATTTGATACTGAATTTTTTAACAAACAATTAACTTCCAATTACTAGTCTTGGGCTAGGCCCTTAAATAAACCGCATGGATCAATGAAGGTTACTTAAGACTCAATTTGAAAAAAGGAATTTTTATGTGCTCCCACCCTTGTCAATTCTGGGGGCTAAAATTATCTACGGGTTTTTGGGTTAAAAAAAAAAGACTAAAGGCATGATTCCTTTTTGGTCCCAAAAACGGCTAAAAAAAATTTTGTATAAACCCTTTTTTTAATGGTTTTAAAATCCTTGAACAATTAACCTGCGGGAAGGGGAAATTTTAGCCTTTTGCACCAGAAAAGGACGACCGTCTGATTTTTGCTTATCTGATCGGGGCTTATATTTTGTGGGAAAAAAAACTTAAAATTTTTTCTGGATGCTCGAAAATTTTGGTTCCAAAAAAGGCAGCTCAAAATCCATTTTTGGAATTTAAGCAAGTTAATTTTTAAAGGGGTTTAAAAAGAAGTTTAAAATTTACAGGGGGAAATTAGAGTTTTTCCCAACATGCAAATTTTGATCCAGGCCCTCTTTTTTTAGGCCCTTTTAAATTTCTCTTTATTTAAAACCCAAAGGAAAAAAAACACAAAGGTCCACCATATTGGTCACCCGGGGCTTTTGCCAATTTTGCCCCATTTGATCAGCTTATAAAAATTATTTTTCTAACTGTCATTCCTATTTTTACATTTTCAGCAAAAAGTTTTGAAACCCGGGGCTGGTTTTCTTGCAAAAGCATGAAAAGGGTTTTAAGCTCCCTTTTGCGGGGCCTTGGGCGACGGATTGGAAAATCAACTCTATGTGGGCTATGGGTCCCAAAAAGGGATTGACCCAATTTTCTGTATGAAATTTAAAAAGGGGATGAAGAGAAAAAAAAAACGAGGAAAAAGGGTTAAGGTATATTATAACAATAAAATAAAATTTTGGGGGTTGACGCAAAAAATGCAGTTACTTATATAAAAAAAAAAGGGCTTACAAAGTTTGCATAACCCTCGTAAATTGAATTATATTTTGCCCCTGCATTAAATACATTATCTGAACATTAATGAATTTTTTTTGACCATTATCTTTCATTTCAAATTGAACTTGAAGCTTTAAAAATCTTTAAAATTTTTGGAAAAAAACTCTTACTAAAATTAAAAGTTGTACAAAATTTTATTTTTTTTCAGTTTTAAAATTTTAAAGTAAAAAGAAAAAAAAACCCCTTTTTAGATTTGTTGTGAAATTTAGGGCCCTTTAAAGCATATCATTTAAAGTATTTCTGTAAATTTAAAATTGTTCTTATTTTTTTAAGAAAAAGAAAAAAAAAAAAAATTTTTTTCCTTATAAAATCGGTATCCTCCCTTGTTCTTGAGGGATTTGGTTTTGTTGGAAATTTATAATGAACAAGTGCGTGACTTGCTGAATGCTAAATCAATGACTGTGAAAGGAGGCCTCAAGGTCAGACAACATCCATCCAAAGGATTCTATGGTATGAAATATATAATATCTCCTGATCTGAATTCTTACATACAATTATTGTTTTTTCGTCAATTTCTAAAAAGAATACAAGAGTTTTTTTAGAACAAGTCTTTGACATGCAGTTTCAGTTAAATTGTCAAAGGTCAAGGTCATACTGAAGGTTATGACAGTTGATATGTTAAAGGTCAAGATCAGATTGAGATATAAACTTATAACAATAGGAATCCTTTACATTGAAGATTCTTGAACCATTTTTGTTTAAATTTCATCTTCTGTTAAAATTAAAAAAACAAATACCAATGTCACATGCTTGCATCTGTTGAAAATATTCATGTGCCATTGAACATTGTAAAAGTATAGCATACATGTGAACTTTATTAGATTATTCTTCAAAAAGAGGGAGATTTTAGAATTTGCAATAAACAAAGAATAAAGTTCTAATATCAAAAAGTGGGAGATTTCTTTAGTTAGTGAAAATACCCCTTATTTTAAGAAAAATCTTTGAAAATATGGCTGCAGAAAGAAGGAGTCTCCCGCTTAAAGTGGGAGAGTTCACATGTATGGTATAGTATCAAATGATGTTTTGTTTTCTTCAATCATAATTCTCTATTTATATTAAAGTTGAGAATCTGACAGCATGTGGTGTCAACAGTTATAAAGAGATTGATGGTAAGATTAATGATGGTACCAGAAACAGAACTGTGGCAGCCACCAACATGAATGCTACCAGCAGGTATGTTACTATCTGTAAAAATTGACTTTGTTAATTTTAAACCATGCTTCGCTTTCCTAGAGACTAAGAGTTGCAGGCATTTCTAAAAATAGAACAGTGAAGTGTGATGATGTCACCAGAAAAGCATAGAAAATACATGAAAGGGCCTGACTGGTAGTGCAGTGCTATGCTGTATTATTTACCAATCATGGCTTCTGTTAATGAAAGTTTGGGTGTCATTTACTCCTTAATTTGATTTGTGACTTCCACAAAAGTGTAATGCTTTTCCTTCTTTACCTATATAATTTGACTTCTAGTGTCAGAGATTTTGCAGACTCTGGCTTCCAAATTTTGAAACTTAATGGAAACCCTGCAAATATAATGTTAATACAGATTATAATTTAGTCCCCACCTCCAGTAAAGCTTCTTCTGTGTCAAAGCAGTGTGTGTGAATGTATGTTAATCACAGTTCTTGTTTTGATATGTCATTATATTTTTCTATTTGTTAAAAATAAATGACTTTGAGTTGTTAGCCTTTACTGGTCAATGAATACCTTTTGTGTTGTTGTTATGCACGATATATATATTTCAATTCCTAAAGAATTTCATTACATGATTATCAAGCCAGTAAACCTTTCCAGCTATATAATAAAAGTATGTATAATGCATTAAAATTGGTGTTAAAAAACCCCAGAAAAACAAGCAAAATCATATTCAAATTGACATGCTACAGAATAAAGATTGTAATTTTGTGAAAAAATGCATGTTTTATCACATACACTGTACCTGGTGTAACATTTTTCTAACATTGCATTATAGTCGTGCCCACACAATTGTGGCTATCACATTCACACAGAAACAGCCAAATGAGACAGGACAAAGTATGACAAGAACATCAACAGTGAACTTGGTAGATCTTGCTGGAAGGTAGGTGTTTCATTTACTTCCTGTCAGACTGGTTCAAGGTTTTATTTTTTTTTTATAAACTTCTTGGCAGACTGGTTCAAGGTTTGATATCTATTTCATCAACTTCCTGTCTGACTGGTCTAGGGATGGATATTTACTTTTCCAATATTCCTATCATACTTGTTCTTGGTGGGATATTTGTGAAACCTGTTCAGACTTTATACTGTTGTCAGCTCAATGTGAATATTTTGATAAAGAAAATTCCCTTAAACTACTAGTAAATTGTTCCAAATTCAATTCAAGACAAGTCCATTATACATCTTCATCAGGGTAGATATTCCAAAAATATGATTGTTATATTGCTGTTTTGATTAATTGTGGTCTAATTAGCACTGTGAACATATTTTCAGTGAGAGGGCAGACTCTACAGGGGCTACAGGGGACAGACTTAAGGAAGGTTCAGCCATCAACCAGTCCCTCAGTTCCCTTGGAAATGTCATTAAGGCTTTGGCTGACCAGTCCATGGGGAAAAAGAAAGTTGTTGGTAAGTTGATAATTTAAAAAAATGTCCGAACATGTTGAAATTGTGACAATTTTTTTTATATAAAGAAGAGTCATCATTGTGAATTGATACTTATATATATATTTTTTTTTTGGGGGGGGGGGGGGGGATTTCTGTGAGCATTTTGCATATAATTAAAAAAAGAAATTGGATTTCATTGGGATATTTATATAATGATGTGAATAATATTGTTATATTATGTTTCAGTTCCATACAGAGACTCCACCTTGACAAGACTGCTACAGAATGCCCTTGGTGGAAACAGCAAAACAATTATGGTGAGGATATACATATTCTATTTCCAGTAATTAAAATGTCCCCAGCTAGCAGGATGAAGCATGAGGCAACTTCCTAAGACATCATGCAGAGATCCTTTGTTTTTTCTGTGGATTAACTTCGTTTTTACGATTAAACTTGAAAACTTGTTACCTAAGGAGAGGTATTATAAATACACTTACTTAAAACATATCATGGAATAAATGGTTTGCATTGTACTCACCAGCAGTAAAAATGTGCGGCTTGCAAATCTGTGAGAGCATTTTGGAGAAATATTCTTTTCTTTTGTTCAGGATAAAAACAAAAAGTTATTTCTAAAATAAATTGACAAGTCATTTATTTATCTATTTTATAAGAAATGGAACGATAGATGTTTGGAAACTTTTTAATGAAAACAAAACACAGTTTACCTGGCGAAGGAAAAATGGTACAGATAAAAGTAGAATAGACTTCTGGTTAGTTGAAGAAAATGCAGTTCCGTTAGTAGTAAAATCCGATATAAGACCCGCTTGTATTAAATACACAGATCATCAAGCAATATTTTTAAAAACGTGGAAATGGTTATTGGAAGATGAACATTTCCTACCTTAAAGAGAGTGATTATAAATTATTGATAGAAGATACAATAAAACAATGCGAGCTTGCTTACAGAAACACAGTATCAAAAACAGACTTTTGGGAATTATGTAAATTAGAATTTAAAAATGCTTCGATTACATATTCAAAACGGCGAGCAAAAGAAAGAAAAGAATATATTATAGAACTTGAAAACTAAACTTAAAATATTACAAAACAATAGTATATTAGAATCCGAGCAAATTGAAAAATTAGAAAAAGAAATCCAAGAACTATATGAAACAAAGGCGAAAGGCGCACAAATAAGATCTCGAATAAATTTTATTGAAAATGGAGAAAAAAAACACGAATTTTTTTTTGAATCTGGAAAAGTCGAGACAAAACGCGGAAAACGATTAACTCACTTAAAATAAATGGAAAAATGTACTTTCAGATGAAACGAAAATTTTAAAAGAAACAGTAAATTATTACAGACACTTTACACTTCTAGTAAAATTCCAACAGATCATATAAAAACATACCTTAACACTATTCAGTATGAAAACAAATTATCCGATGATGAAGCGAGTAAGTGCGAAGGCTATTTAAATTTGAATGAAATAAAAACTGCTGTTAATGGACTTAAGCCAAATAAATCACCAGGAATTGATGGCATTCCTGCAGAATTCTATCAAGAATTTTTCTATTGTGTAGGCTCACATCTCACAGAGTGTCTAAATGAATGTTTTGATAAAAAACTATTATCTCATTCACAAAAAATTAGTTGTCTATCTTTAGTTTATAAAAAAGGGGACCCATTATTATTAGAAAACTATCGACCAATCTCATTATTATGTGTTGATGTAAAAATTGCAACTCGTGCTCTTGCCAAAAGATTGCAAACTGTAATTCATAAAATAGTAAGCTTAGACCAACAAGGTTATATTAAAAAACAGATTTATCGGATATAACATACGTTTAATACAAGACATAATAGATTATTCAGAAAAACTTCAAATAGATGGTTCGATAATGTTTCTAGATTTTCGTAAGGCCTTTGATACTCTAGAATGGAATTTTTTAATTAATGTACTTAAACAATTTGGTTTTAAATCGAACTTTATAACTGGGTCGAAACATTTTATAATGATATTAAATCATGTATTTTTAACAATGGACATAAATCAGAGATATTTAACTTAAATCGAGGTATTAAACAGGGATGTCCATTATCTGCTCTTTTATTTATATTAGCTGCTGAAATTATGGCCATTGAAATAAGAAACTCAAAACAGTATAGAAGGGATAAAAATCGAAAATAATAATAAACAAATTAAAATAGCACAGCTTGCTGATGACACTACTCTTTTTCTGAAATCTGAACAAGACATTCTTGAATGCAATAAATCTGGTAGAGCGCTTTGGCAAATACTCGGGGTTACAACTCAATAGCAAAAAAACTGAAGCAATGTGGATAGGAAGAAGTAAATCACGAACTGATAAAGTAGGAAATATAACATGGCCGAATAAACCAATTAAAGCACTAGGAGTCTATTTTGGCATACAATACGAAGAGTGTTCTAAACTCAATTGGCAGTCAAAACTAACTGAATGTCAAAGTCTAATAAAAAACTGGTTAAAAACGTAAGTTAACGATGTATGGAAAAGTTCAAATTATAAAATCGTTATTGATACCAAAATTTACTTATTTGTTTTCATTCTTTAGTTGTGCCAGAAAGTATCGTGAAAGAAATCAATACAATGATATTCAAATTTTTATGGGACAATAAACAAGAAAAAAGTAAAACGTGCAACTTTAATAGGCAATAAATTACAAGGAGGAATAGATATGCTAGACTTAGACTCATATATAACTTCTTTAAAACTTAAATGGGTAAAAGCTTTAACTGATGAATCAGAAGCAAACTGGAAATTAATTCCGAAACGCCTACTGAAAGATTTTGGTGACAATTTTTTAATATTTTATTGTAATACAGACACTATTAAAAGTCTCAATTGTAGTAATGTGACTGAATTTTATCAAGAACTTATTAAAATATGGATAAAAACTTGCGATTTACATAAGGAAAATCAAAATTTGACATTTGAACAAATAAGAAAACAAATAATCTGGGGGCAATAGATTTATTAAAATTAAAAACCAATGTTTGTTTTTTAAAAACATGGATTAAATCGAATATAATATTTTTTAAATGATTTACTTAATGATCAGGGTGAAGTAGATCAAAATGTTATCTTAAATAAGCTAGTAGATAAACGCAACTGCGTCGTTGAATTAAACCTTCTCTTTAAAGCTATACCTCTAGCCTGGAAACAAACTATGAAAACGTTTCACTCTTCGCAAACAAAAATAAAAACAGAAAAACGTCTTAAGATAAATAACAAACCTTTTGAATTGATGGATTCAAAAACAATATATCAAATATTAGTAAACAAAGTATTCATTAAACCCGCTACACATTCGTATTGGTCAAATAAATATGAGACAAAACTAAACTGGAATGATATATATAAATTCATTACAAGACTTCCTGATAATCGGTATAAAACAATTCAAATTTAGAGTAATAAACATGATCTTTTACAAGCAAAGAAACGCGCTATAAATGGAAAATGGTCTCATCTCCACTCTGTAATAAATGTAATAAAATAGAAGATTATCAACATCTTTTTTATCGATTGTATGGCAGTAAATGTATTTTGGGAGAAAATTTTATATATATTTCAAGAGTGCGGAATTCAAAGAAATATACGTAGACTAGACATCCTTATTTTCGGTTATAAAAATATCTCAAGAAGAATACTTTTACATAAATGTTATACTCACCATTGTAGGTTTTAGTATTTATAAAGCTTACTTTTGTAGTAATAATTGGTCAAATGAATTTAACATTTTAAAACTGTTTAAAACAGAATTTGAAATAATTTATCAATACTTTAAATACAAGAAGACAAAAAGTTAATTTTTTTGACAAAAAACTACTACAAATTTTAAAAGATATATACTAACCTCTAGATAGTATGTTTATGTACGTTGTAACTCTAATACATATGAATATCTCAAATTGAATTTGTTAAATTATGTCATTGTATATATGTATAATTATGTATAATATTTGTGAATAAAAAAAAAAAAAAAAAAAAAAAAAAAAAAAAAAAAAAAGAAATGGAACGATTTTAGTTTGGAAACAAATCAATGTTGTGTTTCATTGAAAGTTGTATGTGATACAAATTTAACTGATTAGGGACATTTCAATTCAAAGAAAATGTCCTAACACATGACTTATGTTTAAACTCTTCAATTTCTGAATTATGATGCTGATGAACATTTACACATTGCAAGATTGAAGTGCATGTCATTGTATTTTGTTAACTTTTCTCAATGATAATGAATTAAATTAAAGTCTAAAACTTTTTACAAAAGACAAAAATATTTATTGAAACAGTCTTAAATTAGTCCTATTGTTTGTTATAGGTCATAGGAATTGGGATAACTTTAGGACATTCTATGAAATGCAGTATTGGTATTGTATAATGTTTTATATTTGTAGATTGCTTGCATTGAGTCCTGCTGATATTAACTATGAGGAAAACCTTGTCTACACTCAGATTTGGTATGTAACAGATTTAACTGAGCGCAATCATACCATTGTTTTTAAAGTTTTTAATTTATGCTTTTAATAAATAACTACGTACATATTAAAGCCAACAGGGATAGTTTAGAATATTGAAGTGTTAGCCTAATCATTAATTTTTTTTTAATTTTAAAAAGTAGCAGCATTTTACACATCAAGTAAAAAACAACAAAAAAACAAAAAAACAAACGTTGAAAGCTAAAGAAATAGTTTGTTTTTATTGAACTTATTATATATACACATAAAGTCACAATACAAAAGTCTTATTGGTGAAGTTTAAGTGTTTTTTTTTTTTATATATGAATTTCCTATCTAAGCCGGATGCTTGAAAGATTGATAACCAGGTACTGTCAATAAAGTTTAACTGTTATTTATAGCTGACAGAGCAAAGGCCATTAAAACTACAGCCACCATCAACGAGAGCCCCACAGACAAACTCATCCGTGAACTGAGAGAGGAGAATGCTAAGCTGATGGAAATGTTGAAGTCAGGAGGCGTGGTTTATGGCCCCTGCTGCTGGCAGTGGTGGAGGATCTGAAGGTAGAGTTACTCCCTTTGATTTCTATAGATAGCACATTCCTCCGCCATTTTTGGGTTGGCTTCATGTATACTAAATGTTCAAGTTGTTAAATAAGCATAGCAATGATCCTTTTAAATGCATGCAGGGAATAATGAATAAAACAAATTTTTATATTTTAAGTTTTTTAAGTTTGTTTTCTTTTTGTTGGACATAATTATTGTTATTTTTTTTTTATTTCAGTTATTGTTTATTTCTTTATGTGTATAGTTTGTTAAAGGCTACATGCCTCCAGATGAGCTGAAAATATGTTTTAAA